GTTCAATTCTATGTACCCAAAGGATTCTGGAAGGACTTCAGGTAATGAATATACTGTATCATACTGATGTGTGCTTTATTATTTATTATGTACATGTACATGTATATGGTATTAGTATCCTTTATTAGTTTATATGAGGATGTATGGTGTTAGATATAGAAATAAATTAAATGTTGGTAGACCAATCTAACTAAAACTGGTAGACTTAAGGACCCCAGGGCTAAGTATGAGAGACCAAAAGCTGAACAATGGGACAGATTTCAGGAGACCTAGACCAAATATGGGAGACCAAAAGTCTCCTAAACTCCCTCCAGATCTGACAGTGATTGTACATGTACATGTACTGTATAGCGAAAAATTTATGAGGGCTCTAAATTTCGTGGATTTCATGATTTTTTGAAGATTTCCAAAAATTACATGTACTTTCATGAAAATCAAATTGTTAGAGTACAAGATGGCAGACAGCATAAATTTATGAAAATTAAATCCACAAAATAGATTTTTATGTAAAGTTGCAAAATTTACAGCCCTCGAAAAATTTTGCTCTATACAACACATTATTTAATATCCTGCTCCTCTACAGGCTGGAGGGTCAGCAGGTTAACCTCAGAGAGCAGCATGATGCCTTTGAGTTCTTTAATACACTAGTGGACAGTGTGGACGAGGGACTGAAAGCTTATAATGCCACACCAATCATCAGCAAAGTACTGGGAGGATCTTTTGCTGATCAGAAGATATGTAAAGGATGCCCTCACAGGTAGGGGCGGGGCAGGGGGCGGAGCTTATTAAATATTAATTGAATAATACAAGTAAAGGTTATTTTTTAAAATAAGAGAGAGAGAGAGAGAAGGAGAGTAGAAATAATGTGTACATGTAAAGTACAGTGCATGTATAGCTAATTTTTTTACTAAAATCTAAAAATGTTTTAGGACAAAATAATAAAATGCTATAACCACTACATGTATTAGTAAGTAAATACTTTTAAAAGACCTAGTAGTATTAATTCATTTTCATTATTGTTATTAGTCGTGTTTTGATAGAAAGTCACAAACTGTTTTCACTTCTTCTCCAGTGATACGATACTGAGCTCTTGCTTTTATCTCTGTACCTCTGAAATCCATGAATACATAGAATTTTCGCTCTTCCCGTGGTTTATTACCATAAACATCAAGTACTAGCTGGCCAATCTCACGTACTGCTGGTTTACCATCTTTATCTACTGTATACTGAACTCCATCATCTGCTGTACAGTATATTGGGATATGTTGTTTGTCAATCTGAGGACTGTGTATAAATTTACCTTTATACACTTCATCCTTTATCTCTTCTCCTTTGAGTACAAATACATCAAAGACATTGTTACAAAGTTGGTCACCTTCTTCATTTACATACTTGTAGTGTTCATCATGTATTGATGGGTTGAATACAGGCTCACATCGTACCCCATAGGTAGCATCAGCAACACGTGATTGGATTATGTTAGGATCTTTCCTCCACATTACTGCTCCTCTTACTACAGCAAGATCTGGTTGTACAGGACACACTATATTATCATAAAGCATGCCACAATGCTCAGAAATAGCTTTTTCTATCTTTTGACTAACAAACCTACACCCTCCAAACCCTCCTACCAGATAAACTGTATCGATACCGTCAGACCCTAGCTCATCAAAAGCTGCCCTCACGCACTCAATGATCATATCAACTGTTGATTTGAATACCTTCTCTTCTAACTGATGATAATCTATTTCTAATGAAAGGTCTCCAGGATCATAATGCATATTCAGCTTCCTCACTTCATGAAGCTTATCATTACCATAGAATGATACAAAGGCAGCTGGTAAGGTCAGGGATATTTCATTAATGCCCTCAGTCGTGTCACCGAATGTTTTCTTCTGTTCTTCAAATTCTCCATAGAATAATTTATTCAGAGCAACTTTAGCACGAGTTGGATCTGAAGCTAAGAAAGACTCGAAACCTTTATCTTTTAATATTTCTTCCAGTATCATTGACAATGCTTCATTGACAGTAGTACCTCCCCAGGTGTTCCCCATTGGTGGTAGTACTACACTAATTCTCCCATTACTCTTATCATGTACAGTAATATCAACTGTACCTCCTCCTATATCAACTACCATATATCTCTCTGGAGGTGTTCCTGATACTTCTGACTGATGCTGTGCAGCTATAGCAGCTACTTCTGGTTCTAGAGCTAATGATAGCTTCTCAGGATTAACCTCCTCTGGACGTGGTAAAGGGGAACCAACTGGAGTGAACCTTGTTATACCAGGAGCATCAGAAGTGAGACCAGCCTATCATATTAACATAATGAAATACAAAGCATGTATTAGGTTACCATATAAGCAGCTTCTCTCATCATTCTTCTTGCTCTTGCTTTCCATATAGCAGGAACAGTAATGACCCAATCAAAATCACTTGACTTGTAGTTCCCTTTCAGATGATCAGTGAGTAGCTTCTCCTTGAGATACGTCAGAATGAAAGCTATAACTTCAATGAGATAATAAGAACCACCAGTGAATGAAGAGACTTGGGTAGTTCGATCTAATGCCTACAACATTATTATAAGTAGTTTGACTGTTCAATCTTTTATGACTCACTGTATCTCTCTCCAGTAAGGTCTTTATTCGCTCAAAATAAATGACATTTTGAGCTTCTTTCTTGATGTCACCATAAATGCTCTGTGCCCTATATCCAATCTCAGTGACTTTACATTGTTGGGTCTCCTGGTCCTTCAATATCATTATAGCATTAGGTACCCTCTCATAAGTACTGTGTAGTGGTACTAGTTTGATCTGTCCATCAGTTGGAGTGGTGTATGCTACTGATAGTGATGAGGTACCAAAGTCAATAGCTGCTATACAACTGCTCCCTTGTAGTACTGGAGTGACTCTATCTATCTTGTCAGCTCTTGCTAGTGGTGACAATGATCCTTTAGATAAAGCCATGATCAGTAATAGGAGAGGTCTATTAGAACACACACACACACACAGTGACTGCTTTTTGTGGGGTGATTCTAAAAATAGATTCATGTATAGTTATATTAACTATAGTAGTGCTGAAATGGATGGTAATCTGTTCACTTCGTCATTATATAAACATTGATTTGTAACATACAAAGTTGGCATTGACCAAACCAATCAATAATCTAAGGATAAGCCGGGGATG